AGGAATTGTTCATTTGTTGCTTCCTAGTTGAGAGCCAGATGAGACAATTGATATCAATCAGTACTCTGGATGCTAAAAGTCACAAAAATAAATTTACTATTTTAATAATTTGTCTTTAAGCCTCCCCAACAACAACATGACGGTTGTTCTGGGCCTCGAAAGCATGTCTGGTCCAAACTTGAACAACGTGTCAAAGGCAATTGATAAGATCATAGTCCATCCTTCGTTCAACATCTGGAATTACTACTATTGGTACAACAACAACGACATGGCTCTTCTGAAGCTGTCGAGCCCGGTGAACTTTACAGACTACATCCAGCCAGTGTGCTTGGCCTCTGCAAACAGCACCTTCTACACCGGTGTCAGCAGCTGGGTCGTTGGTTTTGGTGCCATCTCAAGTGGTAAGCTCACTGACTAAAGACACAATGATGTCTATTGTCTTTTTTAACACCAGTATTAATCTTAACGTTTGAACTATCTCTGATTAGGTGGCCCCTATGCCAACACCCTGCAGGTCTCAGTAGTGGGAAACAATGAGTGCAAATGTTCCAAACAGTATATCGGAGACAACACTATCTGTGCTGTGTTCAGAGCTGGAGGGAATGTTTCATGTCAGGTAACCAACTTTTTGTGTATTTACTTTGTGACACTTTCTTCAGAAATGTATTGTACAGGGGGATGAAAGAGAAAAGGAAAATATGTATTTCAATAGGCGGGTCGCTTTTATAACGAGTAGATACGTTCTAAAATAATCTTAATATGCATCCCTGAATTATGATCTGTAATATAATATAAATGAGCTGCAGTTCATGCACGTTTACAAGCTTGACTTTTTACTTTTGCTATAGTTATGCTAGAACTACTTCATTTACAAGGTGTGTCCCTGTTGCAATAAGTGTTGACTTAAGTTTAAGCAATAGAACGTTACTGAGGGAAAAACGTCCGCACTTTGTGTTAAGCTAGGCTAAAAACATAATAGATACAGCCAACAAATGAACAAACAGAGTTGAAGCCAAATTAAGTTCTTGTAACTTTTATTCAGACATGGAAAAAGCCAGCTTTCGACATAATGATTAAGATAAAGCTTCATACATTTATTTTAAGGGAGGTCAGACTGAAACAAACAAAGAGCCTTAGGGGATTCATGCTTTAGCAGGGTGGATGCTTCTATCATATAACCTCAACCATCAATTTCTTTCTACAGGGAGACTCAGGTGGACCAATGATGATCAAAAAGGGTTCAGTCTGGGTCCAGAGTGGCGTCGTGAGTTTTGGAACAGGCTGTGCCGCGCCGAATGTTCCTGAAGTTTACACCCGTGTGTCCCACTACGATGACTGGATCAAAAATCACACTGGCTCTAGCAAGCCAGGCTTTGTTGACTCCATGTCCCAGGGAGTTGATAGCGACTTGGACTTTGTCTGTCCCACCGCCTATCCCACCACCTATTACCCCTATCCCACCGATGACGGCAGTTTGTTTGGCAGTGGTGAGAGAGTGATCTCCTCACTCGGTCTTCTCCTTATGTCTCTCTATGTGCTGGTCGGAGGCATATAAACATGGAGATGTTGAAGTAAGACAAGTTTAGGGTTTCTGTGCCCAAATGGCTCATTCACTTGATTTGATATGAGCCCTAATTGTTCGAAAATAGAAAATATGATTTAAGATAGATAACTGAAATGTTTTAATTAGCGATAACCCTTCTTGTGATTTAAAATAATATAATAATTAAAATGTGATTTTCCTCATTTCTTCCTTTAATCAAAGTGTTAAACTTATCTTGATTCCATTTCTGGTGGAAAGTCAATCATTTTGCAGATGACTGGATTAAGTTTGAAAATAAATGTTCAAAGATTTTGCATTGTCTTGTAAAGATTGTTTTTCCATACATAACGGGATAAAAAAATAAAATAAAGAATTATCTTTTGTGTAATAAAATTGTTTCCTTTTTGGGTCAGCAGGCCTATGAATAAGGTGACTAGTTTGGGTTGATGAGAGTCTTGAGAACGAACCAAAACAGTAAAGTTTGGGAAACCAAAGCAGTGCGCTGAAAGACACTAAAACGCTAGTGCTAACTCTTTCTAGGTTAATTCCTGTATTGTATTATATAGGGCTACCCTCGACTAAAGATTTTTCTAGTCGACCAATAGTCGTCAATTAAGGCGATTAGTCGACTAATCGGTGTACATGATACATTATGATTCTACATTTTATTTATTTTTCACCCAAAATGGTTTCAGTTCCAAAGGCTGATAAAGAGCGTTATTATAACAGCATGGTACGTTGTGCTGCACATAAAATATAAAATAAAACTAATAATTAAAAACAAGCATTGAGGACACACACATAACATTTAGATCTAGTTTCCATTATTCATATCTGATGATAACAACCCAATAAATACTACAGAGGAAACAGAAACACGTATGAGCGTCGTCAAAAATTCCTCCATGCAAGCTTTATCGTTTTGAGGTCAGAATGATTATATTGTAGCGTCTCGCTATAGGAACACAGGGAGGCTTTGTATGTCTTTTATCCGGGAGTTTATTAATAACGATCACAGGTTACTGTTGGCCGTAACCACGGCAAAACAATGAAATTACTCGGTTAAATCCTCACTCACATACTCCGTCAGCTCTCTCGTAGCATTCCCCAGCTCTCTCTCTCTAGGAACCTCAAAACAGAGACACGTTCGCTGATTTTCTGAAAAATGTAGCTTTTTAAAAATAAATTATATCATTTTTATTTTTCAACTATTCGACTAATGGAAAATTGCTCGATTAATACTTTATTATTCGAATAGTGATTAGTCGACTATTTGGGGGCAGCCCTGGTATTATGTGTGTGTTTATCTTCGTTTTGCTTTCGTTACAAAATTACCTTAATGTAGTTTTCAAAGTTTGTCCAAGTTGCAAGAATTGTTGACTCAACCTAAAGTTTAAGTAACATAACGTAACTTGTTCTAAGTTCTAAGTTGTTATATATATATAATACATATAATGGCACTGTCTGCTGGAGGCTTAGAGTAAAGTTGTTATATAATACATATAATGGCACTGTTCTAGCGGTAAACACTTAAGAAAGAACATGTCAAGCTATGTGCTGTATCAGAAACAATGCGCGGCGTGTTTTGGGAGTAATATGCTGTGTGTTTACATTAGCAAGCATGCTAACACTCAGAGCTAACCATGGAGCTAACGCTGTAGGCTACTGGAGAGAATATGTGTAACGTAAATGTCCTTGTGGTAAACCCTGCGATAGAGAAAGGTTTGAGCTCCATACTGTTTCAGAAATAAAGCTTGAAGTGGTTAGGAGCATAACATGGCATTTAATCACCGCAGTGTTTAGCTGAGATCTCCCGGTAGAAATCTCTCTCTAGCAGAGACATAAGAAGAAGACATAACTTCCATAATGTGTGCTGAGCTAGGCTGAACACATAGATACATCCAACAAATTAACCTAACCCGACTTCACCTCAAATTTAAGTGACATAATGTTAATTCAAGACTTTGTGCTAAACTAAGCTAAACACAGATACATCCAATAAATTAACCTAACCATAACCCTACCTTGTCTAAAGTTTAAGTAACATAACTTCCAGACTTCGTGCTAAGCTAAGCACATAGATACATCCAACAAATAGGTACATAGGGATGTCATTAGACCAATGTTTTAAGATAAAAATAAATATTGTGGCTCAAAACTAAATATCTGTCAAGCGCTCCGTAATAAAATAATATGGACCTTTTTTGATCCACGTAGGGATATTATAAAAAAACATAATGTCCTTTGTACAAGATGAACTCCACTCATAAGTCGACTGTGCAAACCTGAAAAACTGGAAGCTGTTGTCTTTTTTTCTGCTCTGTCATTCTCCAGCGCTCATCAGATAGGAATAGAGATTAGTCATGGCAGCACACCCACACAACAGCACACCCACACAAGAGCACACACACACACACACACACACACACACACACACATATTTCTGTTAACCTGGCAAGGAAGTTAAACTCTCCCCTGGCCTGCAGGATCAATGGTGTGAAACATAGCATGCACTGATCCTATGGGTGTGTGAGCACTCATTAGGTGTGTGTGTGTGTGTGTGTGTGTGTGTGTGTGTGTGTGTGTGTGTGTGTGTGTGTGTGTGTGTGTGTGTGTGTGTGTGTGTGTGTGTGTGTGTGTGTGTGTGTGTGTGTGTGTGTGTGTGTGTGTGTGTGTGTGTGTGTGTGTGTGTGTGTGTGGCCTTTGTGTATTATCACAGTGCCTTTAAATGCCTTTCAAGGTTCACAATTTTCTGATAATGAAATGAAAACCTAACTGGGCCAAATGACTCTTATCCCCAGCAGGCCGCCGCGCATCGTTTGTGAAAAACCGGCAATATATTCTGCGTGGCTGATCGGACAACTAACTAGCAAGCAGCCCGGAGGAACTGTCTCATTGTTGTTCCGTGGATGGGATTACTTTAGTCTCAGTGGTGTAAATTGTAAATCGAGAGAGCTTTCTATTGGTTTAGAATAAAATCACCAATGTTGCACTTGATGCAGAAGATTCTCACTGAGTTGAAACTCCTAACAATCACAAAAAAAGGAATTTGTCGATTAACTACAGTCATTAAACACATAGATATAGTGCTGAAAAGAGGTTTAATCAGCCATTACAAAAGAAGACACCTATAGGCAGCTTGACAAACATTAAGCAACACTTTTTATCTACTAATCTTGGGTTATTGAACAGTGACGTCCAATGGAGCAAAAGACGGAAGAAAACAAAGGTCACGTTTTTTTTTTTATGTAACTTATGACTGAACTTTCTAATCGTGAGAATTATTGTTTTTTTCATGTTTGACTAAAAGGAATCGTAAAAGTTCAAACTAAAAAGAAATGAATGTGAACTATTTCATTTATATCTGAATGAACTTTTATTTGAGATACCTCTGTAACACTGGGAGCTTCATGCATGCTGCAGACACAAAGGCATCAAGAAAAACAAGTTAAAATATGTGTTGACTTATGTGTGATCGGTTGTCACATTTAGAAATAAAAAAATGCGGATGAAAGCTACGGTATAAAGTTGTGGGCGGAGCTAGGTATGAGGTATTAAATAATGAGCACAGAGGGAAGAAGGCACAGTGAAAATGGCTCTCTACCAATTTCTGTGTGGTTCAGCGGTGATGATCATCCTCTTATCCAATGGTGAGAACGTTTATGTGATTTTTCTTTAAACGGTTACAAATGTTTTGTTGTTAAATGATATTATGCTAATGTGTTTGAGTTGATGTTGGTATCTCAAGGGACCAAAATAGTAGAGATTTTGTAGCTGATCTCTAAATCTTCCTTCAAATTAAAGAGCAAATATTGTATCTACTAATAACTGGAAAATGACTGATTTTATAATGTAATCATAAGGAGTTCAAGTGCATGTGAAGGCCAATCAATTAAAGTCACTGAAGTGTCAGAGTGCTTGTAATCAGATTTTTTTCTTGCACTATATTGATTGGATCTAGTCTTTCTATTTCTTTATTTAAAAAAGTATTAATAACATGGTCAGCAAAAGTATTGGCACTTTGATTTGGGTTAATCTTTGAAATGGTTTTGTCTGCTGGAGAGGCAGTGCAGAAGTGAAATATTTCAAACCAGGTTTACCCATCTGGGTCAATGGACCGTCAAGTAATATGAAACCCATTGTAGTCATTGTGTTTTTTTTAAATCCTCTCAAAAACACAAAAGGAATATTTTGTCTCCCTGTCGTTAGCAAATGAGTCGAAAAAACCCCAAAATAATTGGATTTAATAGAAAATTAAACTGGTTGAGCTGATTTTTTGTTGCCGTATATTCAATTTGTATTTTCTTTTGCACTCATGAGTTCTCTGGTGTTCTCGTGTTCACTTGTTCCGTTTGGTTGCTGAGAAAAAAATGAGCACGAGTGTGTTATTGGACAAAGTGTCACAATCTGTGAAGTTCATCAAACTAATGTCAAAAGTAAAGCATTATCAGTAAGTACATCAAGAGTTTGGGATAAGCTAGACTGCAGATTTGGTGACACGACATGGCAGACTTTAAAGTGAACTGATAGGATATGTTTTAGTTTTCAAAACCTTTCGGAAGAGTCCATTTCTGCCTTCAATAAAGCAGGCCCTCTGTTAAACTACCACATCTCAGGTCTGTTGTTGATGTGTGCTCATAAAGGCATGCAAGGGTGGAACGTAAGTGCATTTACTGAAGTACAATGATGAAGTACTTTACTTGAGTATTATCTTTTCATTCTACCTTAAACTTCAAATCCACTACAAATCAAAGGGAATATATTATGTACTGTAATACTTTCACTTATCTAGATACTAGGTAGTTTACAAAATAAGATTTTTACATTAAAAAAATAATTTATTTTGGTACAACAGAACTAGCCAAGTCAATCAATCAACAAGCCATGTGCTATGAATTATCAATTACACATTTATCCAACTATAGTCACTCATCTGACCTCAGTAAAATTTGTTTTTCACAGTGTGGTATTAGTAAGTTTACTTAAATAAAGGATGTGAATTGTTCGTCCACTAAATGCTTGTCATCGTTTGTTTCAACCAAGACGTTTGCATAACATTTTTCTGTCTGTGTTCTCAATTTCAGGATGTCATTCACAACAGCAGCCAGGTAAGCGTATATGAGCAACATAACAAGTTCTTCAAGATTCCTTCAGTGAGTTATGAAAAGCACTGGTTCTACATGTCCATGTCTAATCCGTTATCTTTTCTCTGTCAGCATGTGGCCGGGCACCAAACAACCCCAGAATTGTGGGAGGTCAAAATGCGGCTGCAGGAAGTTGGCCCTGGGTAGCCAGTATACAAGTGAATGGCAAGCACCTTTGTGGAGGGTCCCTGATCAGCGATATGTGGGTTCTGACTGCTGCTCACTGCAACCCAGAGTAAGGAATCACCGTTGATCAAGTTTTCTTTTAGACATTTTACAGGAATTGTTCTCTTGTTGTTTCCTAGTTGAGAGCTAAATGAGACAATGTATATCAATCAGTACTATGGTGCTTAAAGTCACACAAATAAATTTACTATTTTGATTCTTTGTCTTCAAGTCGCAACATGATGGTTGTTCTGGGCCTCGAACGCATGTCTGGTCCAAACTTGAACAAAGTGTCAAAGGCAATTGATAAGATCATAGTCCATCCTGCTTACGGCGACATTTTCAACGAATTTGATAACGACATGGCTCTTCTGAAGCTGTCGAGCCCGGTGAACTTTACCAACTACATCCAGCCGGTGTGCTTGGCCTCTGCAAACAGCACCTTCTACACCGGTGTCAGCAGCTGGGTCGTTGGTTTTGGTTTCAACTCAAGCGGTAAGCTCACTGACTACAGACATAATGATGTCTATTGTCTTTTTTAACACCAATATTAATCTTAACGTTTGAACTATCTCTGATTAGATGGCCCCCTAGCCGACACCCTGCAGGAAGTGAGGGTCCCAGTAGTGGGAAACAATGAGTGCACATGTGCCTACCACACTCTCACAGACAACATGATCTGTGCTGGGTTCAGATCTGGAGGGAAGGATTCATGTCAGGTAACCAACTTTTTGTGTATTTACTTTGTGACGCTTTCTTCAGAAATGTATTGTACAGGGGGATGAATGAGAGAAGGAAAATCTAAAAAAAAATGTATTTCAATAGGCGGGTGGCTTTTATAACCAGTAAATACGTTTCAAAATAATCTTAATATGCATCCCTGAATTATGATCTGTAATATCACATAAATGAGCTGCAGGTCATGCACGTTTACAAGCTTGACTTTTTACTTTTGCTCTAGTTATGTTAGAATTACGTTATTTACAAGGTGTGTCCCTGTTGCAAGAATTGTTGACTTAAGTTTAAGCAATATAACGTCACTGAGGGGAAAAACTTCAAGACTTTGTGTTAAGCTCCGCTAGGCCTGTCACAATTAATTGACTTATCGTACGATAAATAAAAATGAACTCGATAACTTTTCTGACCTCGATAAATTGCCGTTTACATGCGTGTTTGTTTACATAAGGATGTGACCAGCATTTTGGCCAGGCGCGCTGTGTCTGCCGGGCCGGCCCAGCGAGCTGTGGCTGCCGGCCAGGCGCGCTGTGAGGGGCGGGGCTCACACATAGCCAGGTCAGGACCTATGGTCAGGACACTCCGCGTGCAGCAGTGTAGAAGCCAAATTAATAATATAGAGACAAGTAGGCGACAACGTGTGACTTACTCGAGGGGAATTTGTAGTTAAATGGAATTGGTTGCAAAACCTAACTCCATCTCCGGTGTGGGAATATTTTGGATTTAAGCCAAATCAACGTGGCGAACCTACGGACTTGAATGAGCCGGGCGGTGTGTCGCATTTGTTTTAAAAAGGTAGCATCAAAAGCTAGCAATACGGCCAACCTTAAACTGCACCTGAAACACAACCACCCCATTCTGTTTTCCCAGCTGGGAGCAAACAGGGCAGCTGGAGATGGAGAGCCCCCACCTTCCCGACAGTTTGCAATCAAAGATGCATTTGCCCGACAATGCAAACATGTTGGTGTTCCTTACTCGAAATCTTTGATTGATACAGATTTGGATATGGCCTGTTGAGAGAAAGAGCTCTGTTTTTTTTTTATAATTTAATTTATTTGTTTATTTATTATATATATTTATATATTATTATTTCACATTTGATTTGCAATGTTCAATAAAAAAAGTTCTGTTAGAAAGGATGTACTTGAATTATTATTATATATTATCATTATGTCAGTGGTCTAAAATGGTCTTACAACGGTGCCGACAATATTATCGTTTATCGCAACAATTTCCGGGAAAATGTATCGTCCAACAAAATTAATTATCGTGACAGGCCTAAGCTAGACTAAAAACATCATAGATACAGCCAACACATAAACACACATAGTTGAAGCCAGCTTTCGACATAATGATTAAGATAAATATTCATACATTTATTTTAAGGCAGGTCAGACTGAAACAAACAAAGAGCCTTAGGGGAATCATGCTTTAGCAGGGTGGATGATATCATGTAACCTCAACCATCAATTTCTTTCTACAGGGAGACTCAGGTGGACCAATGATGATCAAAAAGGGTTCAGTCTGGGTCCAGAGTGGCGTCGTGAGTTTTGGACGAGGCTGTGCCTTGCCGAAGTTTCCTGGAGGTTACACCCGTGTGTCCCAGTACGAAGACTGGATAAAAAATCACACTGGCTCCAGCAAACCAGGCTTTGTTGACTACATGTCCCAGGGAGTTGATAGCGACTTAAACTTTGTCTGTCAAGCAATCCCCACCCCCACCGATCACCCCTATCCCACCACCCAACACCCCTATGCCACCACCCAACACCCCTTTCCCACCACCCAACACCCCTTTCCCACCACCCAACACCCCCATACCACCGATGACGAAAGTTTGTTTGGCAGTGGTGAGAGAGTGATCTCCTCACTCGGTCTTCTCCTTATGTCTCTCTATGCGCTGGTCGGAGGCATATAAACATGGAGATGTTGGAGAAAGACAAGTTTAGGGTTTCTGTGCCCAAATGGCTCATTCACTTGATTTGATATGAGCCCTCATTGATTTATCTACTTCTTTGCCTTTAATTTAAGTGTAAAGCTAATCTTGATTCAATCTTTTATAACATAAATGCAGACGAGTGGATTGATGTAAAGTTTGGGAAAAAGATCAATGACTTTGCATTCTCCTGTGAAGAAATGTTTTTCCAGATATAACGTAATAAAAACGAAATAAATCAGATTGTTTCCGTAAACATCTTTTTTCCTTTTCTCGGGTCAGCAGGCCTATGAAAATTAAAAGAGTTTGGGTTGATGAGAGCCATGAGAATGAAGAAAAACAGTAAAGTTTCGGGATACCAAAACAGTGCGCTGAAAGACACTAAAAAGCTAGTGCTAACTCTTTATGGGTTAATTCCTATGAGAACATTGTTTAACATAACGCCTACTCATTTGACCAATGGTTTGAGATCAAAATAACTACTGTGGCTCAAAAGTTATATCTGTCAAGAGCTTTGAAAAAAAGAAAAAGGAAACTACAACTACTGCATAAACCTGAAAACCTGAAAAACTGGAAGCTCTGGTTTCTTCTACACTTCCTTCTCCACAGAGCTCATCAGATTATACACTATACACTATACAGGTCAGATGTATACAAGGAAACACTATTGAATATGTGTCCCTTCTATTGTGTCAATCTTCAATACTTTGGAGTATCCTTTTTAATGCTTTCTTAAATAATAGGTCTCTTTTGTAAGGGTGTACTTAAAAATACATAATTGTGTCATTTTTTCACTATAGTTCAAAGACAAAGATGAGTCTCCAAGACAGAAAATGTAACTGCAATATTTCTCACACCCTGTTTCACAAGGCCTTTTGAAACGTTTTCGGGGCCATGAGAAGAAAGAAAGATTTGAAAAAAAAACCCGGTGACCCGGTAAGAAAGTCAGACGAAAAAGGTAAATAAGAGAGAGGTCGCTCTGACTCTTAAGAGGCATTTAACAAAAGCCCATTGAAATGTGGTCATTGTTACTGAGGCAGTAAACAGCAGATGTTTTTTGATCACACAAAGGGAAGGATCGATGATGGAGAACGACAGCCAGACACTGCGAGTCAGTCCTTTTTTTTACTATTTCTACATCTGCACATGAATTAGGGTGGCACGATATTGAAAAAAACTGATATTGCGATATATTTTTTTCCCCTGCGATATATATAAAAAATACAGGAATTGAAGAAAAGACAGTTTTTTTTGTCCGCAAACCATCCTTTCTTGAACTTTAATGCTATACAATTGGTATTTTTATAACTATATTTAACCGGATGAAGGATTTTAGTCACGGACGTCTGGATCTTATGTTATCAGAGCAACAAGCTGAGCTAGCTCGGTTAGCAGCGCCGAACTGCCCTGGAGAAACACATGAAACTACTTTATTCAGTGTTTTTACCTTTTAATCACCGGGTCCGTTTGCTTTGGAGATTTGATTGGGATTGGTGGTTTGCTGTGCGTGCAGAGCCGGCATGTCACTCACTCAAGTAAAATGGAAAATGGGTTGCAGCACATCACAAGGCATTTAAAAAGAAAGAACATACGTCACGTCACTGACAACAACATAGACACAGATTAAAAAGAACATGTTATCCAAATTCCCCAAAGTGGAGAATGACCAATGAACCTGTGCAGCAGGTTATATTCTTCTGTAATCTATCAAAGCAGTGTCTTGAACAAAGGCGTGTGAAAGACGAACCTTTGAACAAAGACGTTTGTTATGAGGAAGTACTGTTTACTAGAAGCCTTGTGCGGACAAAAACTAAATTGTAGCATCCTTCCAGTAAGAGGGACGCACTTTATATAAAACTGGTCACACCAGAAAGGTTAGGAAGATCATATTACACTAAGGCTGAAATACCAACAAACAAGGGACACAAGCGAGGACTACTAACAATGGCCTCAAACAGGATTTAAACACAATTGGAATATCAGATTAAATAGGGCTAAACACCAGTAAATACTGGAAGAAAAACAAATCTTAAACACTAGGAGATATCCGACTTAAACAGGGCGAGAGGACAATGAATATTTGCCTTTAAAAAGGACTAAACACTCGTCGATACTAGACAAAACCAGGATAAAGATCCAGAAAAAAAAGGACCAAACACTTGTGAATATTAGGCTTACTCTATACAAAACCAGTGCTTAAACCAGTGGCGTAACAAGGCCCCGGTGCAAATATTGTTTTGGGCCCCCCCCCCCCATCGCCCCATCGCCCCAAACATAAGCGCACGCTGATGCGCTCACACACGCACGGACACACACAACCACTCGGAAGCGCCACATGTAGGCTATCAATAACAGCCTGCCCTGGCCTCATACCACCATAGCCTGACAACGGCACAGCGAACTAATCACACAATCACTTTACAGAATTAATCGAGATTTCGAGGACAATGTGTTGTGCACCGACAGAAATGCTAAGAGAGGTTCATTTTCATGTTGTTTTATGTTTGTTTTGTCACTCACCATTTACCTCTCATTCCAGGCTTCCTGATTGTCCACCCCTTGTGTGTCTCCTGTGCTCATCAGCACCAGCCCTGCCCCTGATTGTTTTCACCTGTGTCTTGTTGTCGCGTGTTTAAATTCCCCAGTCTCCCAGTGTTCATTGTCAGTTCATCTTGTCTCATGCCAAAGTCAGGTCTATGCTATCTTTGTTCAAGAAAGTTTTTGTTCCTCACAACATGAGCGATTTTCCTTTGTTCTCGTCTTGTTATCTCATCCTGAGATTGTATAGTGATCATTTTTTGTTCATCTTTTGGAAAAATAAAGTATCTTACAAATACTTTACCTCTGTATCATGGGTCGTTGCAATTGGGTCCTATATCCTGAGTATCTGAGTTCGTAACACAATGTATGACAACATTTTTTCGTAAGTTTAGCCGTTACATCTCCTTGTTCTCTCTTGTCCTTTCTCTTTGAGAGCCGCTCTTGTGCTTTGGTTTGATGTACATTATCAGGGTTCCTGCAGGTTTCACCAACTGAAATTTAAGACTTTTTAAGACCACTTTGAATAGAATTTAAGACCTATTTCACGGCAAGAAAGTATGAAGAAAAAGAAGAAATACGTCCCATAATTACTTACAAAGTAAATGTATTCATGTTCAACATAAGAACGATGACTGAACATAACAGCACACAGAAGTGTGTGTGTGTGTGTGTGTGTGTGTGTGTGTGTGTGTGTGTGTGTGTGTGTGTGTGTGTGTGTGTGTGTGTGTGTGTGTGTGTGTGTGTGTGTGTGTGTGTGTGTGTGTGTGTGTGTGTGTGTGTGTGAGCTATATTCAGAGCTCTGCTGCCTTCATGCTGTTGTATGATTGGTGTTTAGCTACGGTATTTAGCGTCCACGGCACCTCCACTTTTAGGGTTGACGTAGACTGCTGCACTAGCTAACGCTGCACTAGCTAACGCTGCACTAGCTAACAAAACAAACGCTAATTTTGTTTGCAAAAGGTGCAGCGGGCTTCAAACAAGTTCCCCTCCACTGGTTTCAACCAAACACTAAATTTGATGTTTTCCAACCAAATACGGTTGAACTTACACTTCCCTATAGTTATTTTAAAGTAGATTCGAAGATACCGGAGTTTCTGACTGCCGCTAGCTGAAGTTTGGTTGGTTGCTAGGTTACTAGCTGGGTGTTCTCCGATAAGGGGCCGGGGGAAACAAAGTTAGTGATTACTGGTTCCATGTTGATTTATTTCAATACAAATTGTTGGGGGGAACTGAAAGGCTATTACCGTACTGGTTACTTTGCAGCCCGGACATTTCCCGCAAAACACATTTAGACGCGATCGCAACACAGAAGTACCTTTCAAATCCCATCATTTTTAAGACCTTCTAAAATCATATTTAAGACCTTTCTTATTTTTTTGATCATATTTAAGACTTTTTAAGGCCTTAAATTCTGATTATCAAATTTAAGACTTTTTAAGACCCCGCGGGAACCCTGATTATAAATGAAGGCTATTCAATTTTGTATGCTGCCGAACTTGCTGCTGCCAGACAAATTACAAATTAATTTAGGTTGCTTGGTTACTTTGAAGACTGCGTGAACCGGCCAATGCCATTGGGGCCCCGGAAAAAAAGATATATATTAAAAAATTAAAAAATTAAAAATAAATCTTTTGTTTTTTTGCATGGGACCCTGCCCAGCTCTGGGCCACCGGCTGCACCGTCAATAGTTACGCCACTGGCTTAAACAGTTAAATATTATCCTATAACTGGGCTAAGAATATTGGTAGGTAATAGGGCTGCCCCCTAATAGTCGACTAATCACTGGTCGACTAATAAAGTCTTAATCGAGCAACTTGTGTGTGTGTGTGTGTGTGTGCGTGCGTGCGTGCGTGCGTGCATCTGCGTCTTTGCCTTATATTTGCACTTTAAAGTATAGGTGCAAGCGTGCATGCATGAGATTTAACTGTGTGTATTCCTTCTTTTCAATACACTTTCTTCTAACTCTCTCTTTGTGTCCTCAGCCTCAAGTAAGCCCTAGGCGAGCAAAGCAACAAAAAAAAAACTGCTATCAGCATTTGATTTCTCAGTGAACGTGGTGAGTGTGAGTGTGTGTTTGTGTGTGTGTGAGAGAGAGAGGGTGTGTTTGAAAGACACAGGAGTAAATTGCTTTAATCTTCTTCTGTGCAGCCTCAGCTTCCTGGTCAGGATATTGTTTGCCATAAGTGTCTCACACACACTCGCACACACTCGCACACAGTTATGCTCATGTTACTCTTCAGGTTGCTTTGTGATAAATCATACTGATGCATATTGTCTAAGTTCACTGAGCAAGGCTACAGTTTTCAGGTATGCAAGCTGACTCAGAGACCTTTTAGCAAACACCTCCCATGTATTCAAGAAAGGGCTCACACACAATTAAGGAAAGCCTCTGCAGTGAATTAAAGGAATTACAGTGCAGCTGATTCTGCTCCACACACACAAACATTTATGCGTCTGCACTTCGGTTTTCTCCAGATACATACAATTCAAAAGCATTACATTCTTTACTAAATGTGCTTTATTGCCTGGGTCCACATAACATATTTTGTGTATCCATCTTTACACGTTTAAAGGCTCATATCTGTGGCTGTGGCGCAGTGGTCTAGTGCGTTGGTGTTTGGATCAGATTCAAACCCCACTGCAGTCAGCATGTCATTGTGTCCCTGGGCAAGACAATTCACCCCAAATTGCTCCTGTGGG